CAACAAAAACAAATGCAAAATAATGAATATGAATTGTGATTTTCCCATAGGCGTGGCACAAGGAAAGCCAAGACAAAAAATATAAATAAAAAATTTTGAATTGAAACAAAGTAGATGGGCGAACACACGCGTATCGAATAAATAAAATTCACTTACTTTTTTGCTTGACACATTTACATAAATAAATATAAATTCATATTAACATATGTACATTAAGTAGGTGCATATGTGTTGTAAGTATGTGCATAAATAATTGTCATTAAAAATGATTTCGCCGCATAATGCGCCTCCAGCGTCAATGCTGCTGGTATTCGTAAGAAGAATTAAGTCTCTTAAAGCTTTTATAAAATACATTTAAGCGTACAGACATACACAGCGACACACACAAACACCTGAGAAGAAATTACACAATGAAAGATAAATGCAGTGCAAAGTACGAAATGTGCTTTATATTAACGGCAACAATGAACACACCCACCCAAACAACAAGCAACCCACCGCCGCCAACTTAACACAGCAACACAGCCCAGCAGCCAGTCTGCCAACATGCCAAATGCCTTGCGGCGTCAGCACTAAGAGTTAATATTACAAATAAAAAGTATATACCTCCATATATACTCGTACACATAGACATATTTGCATTTATATGCACATATTTATGTGCGACAGCTTGGCAGTGATTAATCGACAGAAAAATAAACAGACAACTAAATCTAGGCTGAAAGAGTAAATAAACAAATATTTGATTTAAAGTAATATTTAAAGGGGGATTTGTAGTAATATAAATAAAAAATATAATATCTGTACATATATGTACATATGTATAAACACATGCAAGTGTGTGCTTTTTTCAAGAAATCTGAGGCATCGTAAATGCAATGTTCTGCATGTCTTTGGTCTAAATGCATGTAGCGTTTTCGGTCTGTTGACTCATCTCTGAACTGCAGGAGACCATGGGAAGTGAATTACCGAGCAATTGGATGAATCATCCCATGACCAGGAAGTGCAGAGAGAGTATTTGTAATCAGACGCTAATTTATGAAATAGTAAAGGCAAACACAACCGAGAAAGTCTGATGAAAGCATAAGATTGCCTTAAGAATACTGTACTGGTATTCTACATTTTCTATATAGTTTTTTTTTTGTGCTGAAAGTAAGGAAAGTAAATCCAGGAGGAAGTTTCAATATTGATACGAAAATATTTCAATTGGCTTTATGTTGCTCATTATGCTCATTTGAACGTTGAGAGATTTGGAGAGTTCGAATTAGCTTCATCGAGAGAGGACTTAACTTTTCAGTTGTTTACTCAGTACAAAGTAGCATCTGTTGGCAAGAATGATGCAATTAAATTTGACTTCAGTCTTTCACACAATACACTCGATATAACTGTATATGCCTCACGGCAATTGGTGTAGACTGCGGGACCCCCGTTTTTTTGAATTGGTAGAGCAAACTTAGGTTCCAACCATCGGGCAGGCTATATTCTGCAAAGAAGTTGAGCGCGCATCTTGTCAGTTCTTTGACGCCATGCCTGACAAGGTCTGCCGCTATGTCACCCGGCTCTAGCCGCTTTGTTGGTATTTAAATGCCCAATCGCTACTAAAACTTCGTAATAGTCCGGCAATGGAACGTCTTTTCGATCACTGTCGTTAGAGGTTTTTGCCGTGCCATCGTCAAGTGTAGCCCTTGCACTGGCATTCGGCAGGCTGAATAAGTGTTTCCTCACACACCAATTATGCTTTGGAATCGGTTTTAAAGCCGTCTGCAAGTTGCGTATCCGTTCATTGGATTTTCGGGCCGTACCATTGTCGGGTCGCTTCTCAAGCTCTTCATATGCATACAAATCAGACTCGCTCTCTTTCGTTTGCCTATGCGTCTACTTTCCCTCTTCAGTTCTCGGTATCTATCCCACTCCGCAAGTGTAGTGTTTTGAATTGCTGTTCAATATTCCCCACCATTCCGAAAACCAATAGTTTCGTTGGCTGCTGTATGTAGGGGCTTGAAATTCCTTAGACCGAGTTGGTGATTGGCTCTTAGAAAGAAGATGTACAAGTCACAAACAAAAATTTAACCGAAAACGGAAATTCATATTCAGATATACATTGCAATTTTGAGTATAAAAAGATTTTCTTTCGATTTTCGTGATTAACTCAGGCAGTAGTTGCGAAATGAAAACCTTGAATTTGATGTGATTCGCAGATATTTTGCAACGGTTGCTATGCAGATTACAGCGTGTGCCAACAATTTAAATGCTTTGCCAAAACTTTTCAAGCTCCGAACTCGAGTTAATTATTCTAAACAAATTTTTTCCATCTTACTGTTACCGCTTGCCAGTTACCGTTTGCCAGTTGCCAATTGCCAGCTGCATTTCCACAGACATTGCATTGTGTTCCTCTGTTGCTGATTAGAGCAATTTGCACTTCTGCGCTTGTTTGTTCGAAAATTTTCTTTAATTAAGCAAGTTTGCCAGTGATGTGTTGTTGTGTTGTTGTGTACAGAACAAAAGTACAAAATAACGCAATTGTTCTTTTGTATTTAACGGTTTTGAATAGAGAAAGTGTCGTTTATATATATACATATGTGTGCAAATATATATTTCTTAAAACTGCGTTTGACTTGAATTTGTAGTTATTGATGGGGTGTGCAATTGTTTTGCTAAATTCTAAAACGTTCTACTTTTTTACCTTTCATTAAATTGAGATGCGAAAGAGAATTACGAGAATATGGACAGATTCCGAAAATAAGGTCGGTCTAGAGCTTGAAAAGATTTGTTCTTCATTTCGATGGAAGGCTCCAGGAGACGAAATTTACCCATAATATTTAATTTAACTCTCTCTTCTTATTGAAAATTGTCCTGATAACGGCTATCACTCCATCTTCTTGACGAGGTTTTCGATGCCTGAATTATTTCACACATTTTGAAGGGGAAGCAAGTGTATTTCGGTTAACACTTTCTCACCGCTCATTTCGAACTATTAACTTCGTGCTTATGAGAGAGGAAACGAAACGAAGCGAGACTTTCAACTTAGTTTCCTTCTCTCTTCTTTGCTAAGTAATAAATTTGGCATAACAATTAGTTTAAATGCAAACATGTGTATCGAAAATTATAAATAAATTTTAAGGCAATTTGGTCTCATGAATTTTTAAAATTTAATTATGTAACAAAATTTGAGCAGAAATAAGGTACAAGTAGGATGTGCTGACAACCGAAGCGTAAATAAATTTCCAAAATGCACAAAACGATTTTCACTTCAGACACAAAACAAAACAAAAAAGCGAAATTGCGTTAAAGCGCACATTAGTGCGGCGAGGCTTTGGCCAATGCAGCAGTGGCGGCCGCTGTGGTCGCTGCGGTCATCGCTGAGTAACCTACGCCTGTTGCCGCCATTACTGCATGCTCATCGCTGTGCATCACGCACACGAGCTACTCGAGCGCAATTAGCTGCATTTAAATAAAATTCTACAAAAACAACAACACCAACAATACATCACTGAACTCTGCCGACTGCGGTCAAAGCTGATGGACCGACCATCAGCATTTATTTTGGTTGCAATTGTTTTTGCAGCAAGTGTTTATTGTTGCTGTAGGTACGTTGTGGTTGTGGATACTCCATGCGATGGCTGTTCACTAACACATACATGCATCCATATACAAAGAAAATATTTACAGTGAAATTTCATTTCATTTCGCTTTCACCGAAATAGTTGCAATCTTATTTTTAGTTGGCCTGATGATTTTAATTTATTTTTTTTTTCTTTTGCTTACCACGAAAAGCGCATGTACTTGTACATTTGCATGCATATGAGTGTGTGTATTTCCAAATGCTTATACCCACCGCATTCATACTACTGGATGTAATGTAGGCGTTGGCATTTCAAATGCATTTAATTTTACTTTGAATGTAAATTTTCTAATTCCTGCCAAAAAAGTGCCTTGACTTCTCGTCGGTTTCTTGGCCTATCAGCCTTCTCCGCCATGGCGTATACGCAACGTGACGCCTTACACGCATTGGCGTCATTCACTGCGCAACTAATAGCAAAATAACGCATTTAGATTAAGTGAAAAAAGAAAAAATGCACAACATTTATTTTTAATAGAAAAATTCGTGATTTTGTCGCCGCGATGAAACGCATAAATGCATAGCGAGATGGTTTTGTCGCCATGGCATAACCGAAAATAGCTCGGCGGCGCATAAAAATAAATGCGAATTCTCCTCGCACTCCACGCACGCCTTCGAGTGTCGTGTGATGCACTTAAAATGCATGAAAAATGTTTTTTTGACTTTTTGACTGTTAAAAGTGAAAATTATGATCACATTTGCTTGCCGCTGCTGTGGTCGGGGCGATGCGTCGAGGCGCGGCGAAAGTAAAAGTGTCCCGAAAATGACAGTGTGACAAGCGAAACTAAGCGAACGCGTAACTTAAATTAAACACGAATGCGTGTAGGCGTTGGGCATATGCAGCTGCATGCGTACATACATATAAATATGGGATCTCAATGAGAATACGCCTATTTCCATGTTGCGCCTCCTGCGACTGTGAGCGCAATGAACTCTCCACCTTTTTTCTTGCTTTCGCCTCGCTTCCTATGAGCGCATACATAGAATGCGCTTTGAAATTTGAGTATCCGTCAGCAATGATGCAATCATTAAAATGCCATTTATGCTGTAGGAACGGAGGAGCAGATGTGTAAGTTATGGCGGAGTGTGCAAAAATACGTTTTTATGCTTTTGCTGGTTTTTTCTGCGGCTGCTCCAAAAACTAGCATAACGGAAAAATCGCTGTGGTCGTATAGAAGTTAAAAAATGTTATCTAGGGAAATTGTGTTTGCTAAATTTTTTTTACAATAATCCTTTTCTGATTATTTAAATTCATTTAAATTCTTCTTCTTTCATTTTTCTATTGAGAAGTTCATTTTACGAAGAACTTATAGGAATTTGTAGCAAAATATTCTCCCACAAACCATAAAACTCAACATTTTACTTTTTATATATTTTTGGTTGAATAAACTTTTACTTAACAGTAAACATGAATATATAGTTTATGTCTTGAGAATATTGGGATATTTTTGTATAGAAATTTCCGAAGTGAGTTTTGAAATTAGAAATTAAAAATGGACTCGCAAAACTGTAAGCTTAAGTTTGCAAATAACTCCCGCACTAGTGTCGCTTTCCTTTAATGATCTTATTTTCTGAAGCACCAAAGTTCGGATCGTAATTTGTTGCCGATGTTGTGCCATCTGAGTCGTTGCAGAGATCTGTAGTGCAACTGCGATAGAATGTTTTGAAGGTTGAATCGGTTTTAACGGCATTCAAGTACTTTGTATAAAGAAAAAAGTTTACATTTATTGGTTATTTGTATAGAATTTAAGTTTGGGCTTAGAACTACTCACCAATGGCTTGTCCAAACAGTCCCGTATAAAGGAAATAACTTTACCAGAGGGATGCTATAGAAAAAGTAAAATTAAATTTATTTTTTATCTTCCAATGAGACGAAAATGTTCACATAACTTTGCAATAGAAATCTTATAACCATAACCAGCTGAAAAATTAATAAAAAAATGAAACTATTTTCCAAAAAAATACCGAGTTACATTCTCACTTTGCCATCAAATAGTAAAAAATTATCCTTATAAAATGAAAAATGAAAAATAAAACTAATTGATATTAACATAAAAGACTGTGGCATCATTTTAATCCAAAATAATAATAATAATAATGTTAAATCGTTAACAGATAATGTTAAGTGTCAAAATTGAAGTGCGCTGTTAGTAATACAGGAAGCAGTCATTTTAAAATTAACATAGCGACGAGTTTGTGCGGATTTAACAGTAACAGTTTAACTTCGTTTCGATAACATCGTTTTTTTCTAATATATTAATTAATCATAAGTTTTAAAGCTCTCTTTGTATATGCTTGCATGGCTTTCGATTATTTTAGGCAGCAACAACTACTCTAGTTAATTAGCTAAATACAAATGGCAATCTCATTAACAATGCTCACTAAAATAAGGTCAACAACGTGGTTTAGAAGCCGACAGTTATTAGCCCTGTGGTTTGGTTTGGGGCTTAAATCCATGCATTGATGTTAATTAGCATATTATCGCCCGGAAGTGCGTTTCTGGTGAAAATTATGGTTGACAAACATTTGTATCAACGACAAATAAATACCAAAAACAATTTTATTTAATAAGCACAAACTTTAAAGCCACATTTATATGGATACTGATGAACACTAAACTTTTTATACTAATTAAAGCTTTTATACTAATATAGATTTTTTGTCCATACATATATTATCTATATATAATATATTTTATATATATAATATATTCGAAAGTATAATATTTGGGTCTATCGCTAAACTTTGGTGGAAATTTCATAATTCTGTAAAAATTAGCTTAGGATCCGTATATATAATATATTGCTTGGTTTTTAGTATGTCTTACAAGTTCGTCTGTCTGTCCATCTGTTTGTACGCAAACTGTTTTCTCAAATTTTGAGATATTTCAACCAATCTTGGTACACAGACATCTCGTACATCCAAACGATCATATAGAAACCTACCGAAAAAAAATTGTCGAAAAAGCATCTAAGAGTAGGAAATTTGGTATTCTACACCCAAAACCATCGAAATCGGAAAACTTCCTCCAACAATGTTTTCGGATATGAAAATTAATTTTTAAACCTAAAATGAAATACCATAAATGGTCATAATATGGTCATGAAGGGTATAAAGACTTATTTTTTGTCTATTTGATATAGTTTTTTTTTTGTTGCTCAACTTATCTTCTTCATCACTTGTTGTTATGACACTTTGTAAGCCTGTTTATGCGATTACACGCTTTCTGAGGTTTTTCCATCAAATTATGCAAATGCAGTGACGGAGTGGATTAAGTATTTCAATCTAAATAAAATTGTTTGTTATTTTAATACACGCATTGCGCGCATTCAGTTGATATTAAAGCCATGTGACTCTGAAAAGTTCAAACTTAAGTACATATCGCCAGACTTCAATGAAAGTAATATAAAAGTTTTTTAAATTAAAAACAAGCATAAACGAAGAGATGCCTATCTACACTTGAGTGCTTGAGAGTTCAAATATCAAGTGCAAACTCCAATTTGAATTAAAAGTTGTTTTATTTTATTTTTTTACAACTTTTTTTGCACACAAAAATAATATATCTGTTCTGAGATATTTAATGAATATTTTATGAATATTTAATAAATATTTTATGATATTAGGGATGAATGGACTATGAAATATTGATGCCATCATATAATGTTGATGTAAAAGACCATCACAAAGAGAGTTTATTTAAAAAAAAAACTGAATAGAATGATATAACACAAAAATTAATTAAGCGTAATTCAAAGATTTGCTTTTAGATATTTGCTTCTTTTTTTGCAGATTATTTCCAGTTAAATACAAGAAAATCCCTTGTAAAAATATAACATTTTCATTTGTATAGAAAATACCCTCATCGATCAAAATCATCGATTTCGATAACACACGATAGACACACCTTCCATCCCTTTCCAGCATTCCACAAATTACATTTCTCAAACCATATACCTCTCATTATGACTTTACTCCTGCTTGCGAGGAATGCTACTTTCATCAACTCCACACCGGTAGTGCCACCTACGTCGGAGTGCATGTGGCATACGTGTATGTGGCACATGTCAAATGTGTGCCACATGTTCCGCTTTATTGCTCGCCGCTGCTGCTGGTGGTGCACACGCCAACAGCGTAAAAGTTTCCTTTCATGTTTTCGCAATTGGAAATTTCTTCTTAGCAAATCTTTACATACCTATTTAGTTGGGCATGGAGTGCGTGGTATCTGACAGGCGTTCGGGACGTTGATGTATTGGTTACTAATGAATGCACGAATAGCTGGCAGTTAACTCGGTGGATTGCTGGTGACGTGAGTGAAAAATTTAATTGCTACATAAAAGCAAGAACATAAAAAACAATAAACAAACAGGTGGATGACAGGATGCATGTGTTCATCAACTCCTACTCATTTACATACAACTCGCGTCTGCTGCATTGCCAATGAAAGCAGTGCAAGCAACAAAGTTGAAGGGAGTGAATTTTGATGTGTCTATGATTTTCCATTTTGTGGCGCTCCATGCAACTCTCATTTCCGCTGCCGTGACTTTTTTCCACCTCAGATTGCTTTATGTGAGGTTTCTACTTTACTTTTGCTCTCTCATTTATTGTTTTATTTCACACTTTGGCTCATTTCCTGCCTTACATGGAGCACAAGTGGCGTTGCAATAAATACACCTCCTCAGCGGAAGGAAATATTAAAGTGATCTTCCTAAAGTCTTTGCCTGCCTCGTTGTTGTAGGCACCAGAAAAGTGTATCGATTCAGATGTTTACTTTGAGGATACTTTATAATATTTGAATACCAATCTTTTTATAATAAAAAATATTCCTGCCCGCTTATCATATACTCACCACAGATTCTTGACGCATTATGGTGCAATACTTTTTCGTGCAGTCTGTGACCCTCGTTGAGTTAGCGTCCACAACGCATGAATTGTCCGAATATTTTTCCAAATACGTGCAAGTGTAGCAGAGCAAGCCGGATACTGTAGGTTGGAGAAATAAAAAAATAAATATAAAATTTAAGAAAATAGCTTTACTATTGTATAAAAAAATTTTCTCACGCTGCCGCCATACAATATTTCATTTTTTGGCACGGGCACTCTAAATAAGGTCTTTAGAAATGGAAAGAAATAGAGAGGTGTGGATATGTTTGTATGGCTGTGCGGAGTGAACGAAACGAGTGCAGTGGTTCTCACTGCGCGAAATGGTGAAGGAATTAATTAAGTTAAGACAAATACTTGCAAGAATGAAACATTTATAAGTAAAAAAGCAGCGGTGAACAGTTTTCTGGGTAGCTTATTACATCTTAGTGATGCATGTATGCTGCATTCATCCAGCATAATGAAAAATGCTAAAATTGTTCGAGAATTATAAAAATCTCTCTTCATGAATATGTAATAAGAGCTGATAATAGAGATATAGCAGCTCCGAGGCCAATTATATTTACTACATTTCGATGGCGACTTCGTCCCATTGGTATTTCAAAACTGTTCAAACAAGAATTTTGATTGTTTTTTTCTTTATTTATGTCGCTTATAAAATATAACATTTTTACTAAGCAATCATAAAGCATATCGAATACAAAATGGAATTTGCTCGAAAATATCAATCCTGGGCCCACATCTCAAATATTGGATGAGTGCATAAGTTCGTGCCCGATTTCAAGTGCAAACTAAAATTGAAATTTTTTGAAGAAAGCGCTTTTATTAATCAATTATTTGCCATCATGTTTGGTAATCCACTCCCAACGTTCAACCAATTTACGGATGCCTGATTCATAGAAATCGCGCGGTTTCTCGTTGAAAAAGGTGTCAAGGTGAATTTTGACGTCTTCCACATTTTTAAATTTCTTTCCATTCAAATTGTTCTGCAGCGATCGAAACAAATGATAATCAGAAGGTGCAATGTCGGGTGAATATGGGGGATGCGGCATGATTTCCCAATTTATCTCCTACAGTTTGGCCAGAGTCGGTTTTGCAACATGTGGCCTGGCGTTGTCATGATGGAAAAGAACTCCTTTGCGATTGGCCAAAATCGGACGTTTTTCATCAATTGCTTTCTTCAATTCGACCAATTGCTGACAATACTTGTTGGCGGTGATTGTTTCTCCACCTGTCAAGAGCTCAAAATAGATCACGCCTCGGATATCCCACCAAATTCACAGCAGTACCTTCATCGGATGCAATCCACCTTTCGACATCGGTTCCGCCCCTTCGTGTGCCTGTTTCCATGTTCTTTTGCTTTGAACATTGTTGTACAGGATCCATTTTTCATCACCAGTCACGAGCCGATCCAAAAAAGGTTCGTTTATGATCCGTCGAAGCAAAGAAATTGCTGTTGACATACGGTCCACTTTGTATTTTTCACTCAACTGATGTGGCACCCATGCATCGAGCTTCAAAGTGTACCCAACCTTTTTTAAACGACGAAACGCAGTTGGTTTGTTGACGTTCAATTCACTGGCAACCTCTTCCGTCGAAATACGTGAGTTATTCGCAACTAAAGTCCTTAGAACATCGTCATCAAGCTCAGAAGACCGTCCACTGCGAGGTTGATCTTCAAGGTTAAAATCTCCAGAACGAAATTTCGCGAACCATTTCTTTACTGTGCGGAGTGCTGGAGCACGGTCCAAATAAACTTCGCGAATATCTTTAGTTGCAGCGCCTACTGTTTTTCCTTTGCGGAATTCGTATAACATAATATGAAGCATATGATCTTTTTCGTTGTCCATCTTCCATGCGTCTTTTCACTAAGCAACTCAAATCAAAATGAAGTTATTTTATGCTTGATTTACAGTTCGGACTGTCACCTTTCCAACGATATATAATATGTATATATTTCTTTCACGAGCGCCACTCTCAAACGATTCGAACGGCATCCAGCGGAGTCGGGCACGAACTTATGCACTCATTCAATAGAATGGATAGGTGATAGGTTTACTTCCGGGAAACAACTTTCTTATGGTCTGCGTCATACATACGCTGCCCGCTCCCCGTTTCAGGTCTCTACGACCAATGGTTTAAGTTGTAGGTAGATCTGTCAGTCGTTCAGAACAAAGCCTTTTATATATAGGAGCCTAAGTTGTAGCAACCTAAGAACTCACCGATTTCAGCAACATAGCAAGGTTTTTTACCCAATGGAGTATTTAATGATCCAATGATGCTATTGATTTTTATATAGTCTTCTAAAACTGAGATGTACATATTTTTTTTAGTTTTGTCTTGGATATTTATATCGATATTTGGTGCAGACGCTTGGTTGGCCCTTTTTTAAATCAAAATTTGTGTTTTTTGTAAAAGTGTCTTTGTCGCTTGCAGCAATTGGCTGCTTATTCCTTACGGGTTTTAATTTTATGTTTCTTCTTTGTTTTTATATTTGTTTATCGTTTTCTTGTATAAAAATAAGTTAACGAGGACGCTAAATATTATTTTAAGTCAAAAGTAAATTTAAATCCAATAAAAAATAACTAAATTTAAAAAATTTATTTAAATTAAAATTGTGGCCACAAAAATAGACAGATGGCCCCAACATAAAGCGAAAGACACGAAGAGAGACGACAATTTTTTTGTTGATTAATTTAGTTGATTTGGTTTTTTTTTTATATATAAAACAATTCTACGTGATTCTTGGCAGCCATAGAGACTGTAATAGCAACAATAACAACGAAGATAGCAAAACATACATGCATTTGTTTGTATGTATATACAATAGTACATTTGTAAAAGTGCCAACAGAAAAGACGTGAAACATTTGCCAAGTTGCGCGCGACCTCGTTGTAGCGGCTGATGGTGTAATAACAATGACGTCAATGCTTAAAAACTGGCAGACAGACAGACAGCCACACCGTTAGACATATTTGAAAGAAATTGCCAAGCAACGGACTACACAGAGACGTTCCGAAGACCAAATAAATGGACATTGCTGTGCTATGGATGTAGTGCATTGTGGGCATTTGTAGATAAAGATTGCATGAAAAAAGTAAAGTAGTGAGTAAAACCTTAGTTACAAACTAGAATTCGAATGATGAAGTTATATTAATTCGCGATTAGTAAGCGAATCACCTAAAAAGGCGTTAATAACAATTTCCAACCCGTTTTGCTCAACTTTTCAGGTATAAGATTCACTTTCGGCAAAGTAGCTGCCCAATTTGCATATATTAACAAGAATTTAACTAGCATTAAGTTGAGGCATAGTCGGTTAACCGCTATTCCCTAGAGTTTCCGCATATTAGAAATAGCAGTCGCTCGAATGGTATAAAGAGAGTCGCAAATGTCAGGCGATGGGAAATGATTTTGGGCAGTTTGCACTAGCACATTAAACTAATAAACGCATATACATAAGTATAGACATAATTATGGATTTCTGAGCAGCAAGAAGGTCTGAGTCAACAATAATAAATTGTGGCATTTTAAGTAAGAATGCCGTGTAATTTAATAAATTTCATAGTCCATAGTCTCGCGACCTACGCGAAGCAAACACTCAAAGCTTCGGAAATAATTATCGTAATCGATAATGTGTTTGTCCTTATCATTATCGAAAAAATAACACAAAGGCATGCCTCGAAAACGACTAATTTCATTTCATTCCGTCTTCAATTTGGATTTTATTAATTTTTTGAATTTGAAAAAAAAAAAAAAAAAAAAACCGAAAAACATGAGTTTTTAATTCCCGAAACAACAATAAACAGCCAAATATTGTCTTAAAATTAAAACAACAAATGTTAGTGGAGAAAATTACCTCAATGCAACAACAAAGCAAAGATGAAAATCTTACAAATTTTGTGTTTTCATTAAATGCCGAAAAACACTCCAAGTGATTTAGTTCGAAATACAGTGAGTTGCGTTTGCTTATTTTTTTCTGTAAGTGTGATAGTTGTTTGTATGTACCTGTTTTTTTTTTTAATTATATTCATGCTACATACAAATGGCAGTTTTATACTTTTTTTTTGTTTTTGTGCTTTGTGCAATTCTTAGATTTGTGGTCTTAAAATACATCATTTCATTTGGCCGTCTTCGCTGCGAAATGACTTCATAAACGTGTGAGAATTCCTATTTTTAGCCGTTCTTGTGTATTTACATATTCACGAATGTTTATATCTTTTTGATTTTTACGCACTCAATTGCTTGGTCGTATCTAAAAGGGGACTTTCCAAGAATTCATATTGCTTTTCGATTTATTTGAGGAAGATTTTTTAACTATTTTTGAGTCCCTTTCCTACTTATCAGTGTGTTTACATGGACGCAATTTCAGAAATTTACCTTCCCAATGGGAAATGTTTTGTATAAAAAAAATTAAATATAAAAAAATTCTAACAGTTGAGCCTCTCGTTAGGTAAGAATAAGTAATTAATTGAAGTCGGTAATGTTTCGCATCAATGGTCTCGTCTGATCGGAACGGTTCTTGATGCGGCTTGTCTTCGATTCGCTGCACGGCTAATCCAATGAAGTGGGTAATCGTTTCCAAAATTGGACCAAACTTCCAGGTGGAGCCATCTTTTGAGGGCGGACCAAATTAGTTTGTACCTCCAATGTTTTTTATGAAATTTGCCTCAAATTAATCCATACACCAGATCACACGATTTCCATTTAAATTTGAAATTATAATAAATCATGGGATTCAGTTGTTGAAATTGAATGAGCAAAAAGGAAATGTTCTGCTTCTCCTGGAAACGCCCATTTAGGTCTTCTTATAAATGTAATTAAAGTCCAATTTTTGATACATTAGATTCACTCATAGAGTGCTAAGCTATATGCAATGAAATGCAAAGAAATCATTTAAGACATTTAATGATTCCACTGAAAGATGCTTAGTTGTACTGAGACTCTACTCATATTCTTATTTTGAATATACATATGTATATACAGTGGCTTTCTATGCATTTGATGAATGACACGTGTTTTACGCATGAAAAACGCGTTACTCAGTAATTCACTCATTTCACCGCAGCTACAAAGAGAATTAGCTAAAACCCAAGAGGCAGCAAAAAATAAATTTAAAAAAAGTTTGGAAACATTTTGAATTTTTCTGTTTTTTTTGACACTAACGAGCGACGTTGGTTGAATTGTATCTACCTTTGCACGGCTGGCTGGTCACTAATTTAGCCTAACACAAAAAAGTAAGTTTGAGATAAATGAAAGAAAAACATTAAAATTATTTTTTTATAAATAACTAAAAAAATTTTAAGCGAAATAAATGACAAATACACTGCTTGAGGTTCGAAGTAGAGCAGCAATCAATTTCTTACAAAACCAATTCATAGAATTGTAGAGGGTCGCTAGTTCTTAGTTCGCATCAGTTGGCTTTGCCAACTTACGTATTTTTCATTTAAATACTGACAGTTTTTTTACTTGGAAATTTATGACATTGAAATATTATATAATTACGTCTGAATGCTGCAATGTATATGCATATAATTTATAAAGATATATATGTAAAAATTATTGTTGAAAATTTTATTAAAAATTATAAAAATATATATTTTTTTTTAGAAATTCCAGAAGCGAATTTCTGTATGTACGAAGGTTGTTTAAGTAATACAATTAAAAAACAGTCAACCACTCTCAGTCCTAAAAGGAATAACGCCCGATTTGGCACCAAAAGCATCATGAATACAAAGTAATGTGCAGGTATTAATTCACAAAACGTTTTTCAGTCAAGCTTAACACGCACACACCAGAAATGCGTATAGAACTTGAAGCAGGTCAGTGGCATCGCCTCACCACTCCACTCACAAACTCACCACTTGACATCTGCAAAGCCATCAGCATGCTAATCAGCAATAGCATGGCGTTTAGTTGATTGTTGCTGCTGCTCCTTCTTGGGCCCCCTCTTGTGCTCAACAATAATTTGGCATTTACCTTTTGTTTTGACAACATTTCCGTTGCCAAAGCCACTGCCGTCCCTCCCACCACTCTGACAGTGAATGAAATGTGATGCTGAGCGTATCGTTTCGGGATTTGTGCCACACTTTCAGACGTTGGACGTTGATTTGCTTCAAAGTGCTTTTGTTTCAAAACAACTACAACTATAACTACAACTCAACTTTGTTTAGCTCTTGCGTATGATTTATGCCCTGTGTATGTGTTTGTAATGATTATTTGTTGGCTGCTCGCATCCGCCTCAAGCATTGCCTCACTACTGACACTGACACGAAAATTGACTGTCAACAACATCATCGATGCTTCTACACCGCCGGCGTTGGAGTGTTGTTTGACTATGGGCTCGACATCACTGATATTTTAGTTTATCACACACATTTATCTACACCAGCATACACGTACATATATGCAGTTTCGTCTGCAGGTGGTCGTACGTAAGGTGTACAGTGCTTGTGTGTTAGGAGTTAGGAGTAAAGAGTAAAGAGGGCGGTTGGGTGTTATTGCCGTGATTTGATCACTTATCGTGTGCAAACAAACAAATATTTATATGGCTGTGCATGTGTGTGTGTATGTATTTATGAATAACATGACATTGTGCGACTGCTAAGTGCTAGCAAATTCTCGGTAAATGCAAACGGTGATTTTTTGCTCCATTTCTTTGATTCTTTTTCCGTTCTGTTTTGCTTCATTACGGAGTTGTCGCTTTATCTTAAGGTCAGCACTTGTTTGATTTACTTGATATCGTACAGATGGCGTTTATAGAAAGTCGGCAACCGATGATAGTTCAATAAAGAAGGGTTTAGCACAAAGTAGTAGCAGGTAAATTACAAAAAATACAGTAATTTGAAATCAATACGAAATTGTACCCTCAAAGGATTAAAAAAAAAAAAAAATAAAATAAAACATATGACACTAAGGTCTCCGCGATTTTCAAAAAGTTTTAATTATTTTTATTTAATAATAAAAAGTGTTAGTAAAATAAAAATTCTATATCTTTTTTAGTACAACAGAAATAGTGTAATTACAATAATACAGATACGTTAACAAATGTAATGTAATGAACAGAATATGAAAGCAGTTGGAAAGACTTAGTAAATGGTCTGGTCAGTCTTAGTGGAATTTGGTTTTGAAATGTATGTATATGTGATTCTTGAAACTGCTTTTATTAATAGAAATGAGCCTAGGCGATAAAATTTGGTTAATTTTAATTGAGATGGGCCGATATTCGACATTCGGAAGGACAGGATTCCAGTCCTGGTACGATCAATCTTTTAATTATTGAAATTTTGTGGGATTGTTTCTATGGCACCTGGAAAGCCATATTTAAACAAATTGTTTTGGGACACAAAACGTGTTCACATTTCGATTTAACAGAATTCGGTTTATTGATGGCTTTTCGCTTAGATTAAAAAGAGCACTTCTCTCCGGGAAATGTACCAAATGAAAAAATTTCCCACAAAGGGGATAGACCTATTCGAAAAAAAATATAAATATGTTGTTCGATGTGATTAAGTTTTTAGATAGAAAACATCCCATAATTGAATGCTTTTGTCAACTTAACGAGGGATCGAGAAAGGAATGACCTGCGAATTGACAAATATCAGAACGAATTGGGTGTAAGCATAGATCGTGTGCAGATAAAAAAAAAAATATAAGGAAAACCTTAACATTTAATATTTTATGATGTTTAATTAGGGCTGTTTGTCATTATTGTCAATACCTCTGAGAACAAAAATTGAACTAAATATCATGTAACGAACCCAGTTCTTCGGTTTATAGCTGGTCTGCCACTCAGCTAGATTATGATTATAAATTTTCCAGAAGAAAATAATTGGACATCATCTAAGTTTTCCCAAAAACTTTTCGTGTCGTACCATATACCTTCTAATTACTCCAGCGCAAGCAGAAGTGGTTTCCCACTTTTGATGCTGCTCCTTTTATACATTTGCATATTGCTTTGTTGTTGCTCCTATCACCTATTCTGCTTTGCCTTAGTCAACAGCGGCGGTGTATTCTATAATGGTATTTCAAATTGATATACATATATATAAATACTTAGTAATATATAAAATATGTATTAGGCTTGGGGTCTTCACTACTGAAAGTCGTAACAACGTGTGGTCGAGCCTGTTAGTACCCAAAAGTCATATAAAATTAATTTTTCTAATTGCGGTCGCTCTTCGGCAGGGAATGTCAAGTCCTACGAGTGTATTTCCGACATTACATGCAATAGTTTGTCATAAAAATCCATCGGACGTTCGCAGGCGTCTTAGAATAAACTGTGGACCCCAACATTCGTTGGATAAATACAAAACAGATTAGAGAAAGAGCTCAGTCGGAAATTGCTGCAGCGTCTCCAAAGCGCAATTATGTATATACACACATACTCGTATACACTCCAACGCAAATAATTCGATTTATTGCTTTCGATTTTATGCTTATCAATAAATAAATAAACATACATACATACATATATTATCTTATCATTGAACAAATATCTGTGTTTTCTATATGTATTTTAATTTGTCTCTTTTCTACACTTTCAGCGTGATCGCTATGTTCCTGGCTCGCCAATATTTCGCGATGATTGTAAAACCCCGCCGATAACACAAGCCCCACCATCGACGCCGAAGAGTAGCGGTAAAGGTTAGTACACATCACGATATAAAAGTATACATATGTATGTATGAGTATATGCCTTTTCTAGCGAACCGAAAAAATTGGAAAACCAACATTTAGTTTCAAAATTAGGGAGAATATCGGCGTTTTCTTACAAATATTCAATGAATCCCTTGCATCCTATAATTTTTTCTTCATTCCAAAATACTAGGTCAGAAGTTTAATCATATTTATTAAGAAAAATATATTCATTTCTTGGATATAACAGAATTCAACTACATTTATTAATGTATACATATGAGCTTACGCGCTTTGTGTACTCATTTCCATGTAAATGAGCCAATAAAAATGACTGACCGTAGAAATTAATGCTAAAAACAAATATAACTATATAATTTATTACACCAGAAAATATAAAAAATATCTTCTCAGCAAAATCGGAACACTGCTCGATTTCTGTGAATTGACACCATTCACACATGCGATGACAATCAATATTTATGCATATGAAAATCAAGAAAAAATTGCACTGACACACATACATATATATATATTCATTTAACAAACACGTCTTTGTTTGTATGTAAGTTTTATGCAACCTATGGTTGTGTGTATGTACAAATGATGACGTTGATTATATGTGTTGCCCAATAAGTAAAGCGTTGATGATTTATAGGTGAATCGAGCGGTACCTGCCAGTGTGTGTGTGTGTGTGTGTTTATGTGTGTGTTTGCGTTAAATACAGTTTTGTATTTTCTATTCACACGTAAGAGTATACAATAACAATAACAATAATAAACAATTAAAATGCCAAAATTATAAACAGAAAATTGTGTTGTGCCCTTTGGTTTGGTCCACTCACCTTTCCCGATGAATGTGTTAGCCGTAGTAAAGTTTTTATTTAAAAAAAAAAAAATCAAAAACAACTTTATGCTAAATAACAGCAAAACTGTGCCGTTACCTATAAACAATAGAGCTTATTCCGAAAATCTCCGCAAATCGTTTAGACATACCGAATTCTGCAGAAATGCTTTAAAAATGCAAAACAAATTTATTTACCAGCTTGCGGCGATTCCAAAAAAAAAACGAATAAAATAAAAATTAAAAATAATTATAATAATGAGTATATCATACAGACAGTGGGAGGTGTGGCCTTCCCCCTAATATGTATGTAAATAGACGCAAGTACGTAGGAGACAGCAAAATACTTCCGGCAAAACAGGCAGTCTCTGCCGCCACTACCCCAGCTCCGCCAACATCGCCTCATCATATGTAAACTCACGCTGGCGCTATCACAAGCGTTCCTATATTATTGCCGATACGAAGCCATTTTCCCGCCTCTTCCGTTAGTTTGTTGTGCTTCAAATGTACTAAAAATTTGTTTTCCAATGAATTTTTTTTTCAAAATACTTATACAAACTCGGATGTGTGTCTGTGTGTGGAAGAAGAATGTGTCTGCTCTATTTGTTGCTTCTACAAAGCTGTCGAATATTAGGTAAATAACATTCCACAATTCCATAGCTCACATGCCACAAGCGAGCCGCAAGTATCTCCAGCGCCGACAGCAGAGATTAAGTAGCAAAATATGGAAGGAAGACATGGATGTTTCAGACAACGCTTTGGGCTAAGCACTTGTTTTCTTATCTGATTTTACATACACACATACGTATACATATGTATATGTATGTGTAGTCGTCAGGAATTTTCTAGCCGGCGAAGACCACATTTGGCAACACCTGCTGGCAAAGTCCAAAATACCTCAAAATACCTTTAGATATACGTATGTATGTAAGTGTGTGGGTAAGATAGAGATTTATATAAGCAGTTGTGTGGTAGTATGAAATACCTTAAGTGTCTACGTGCCGTTAATGTGCGAATCCCCACAAGCGCCACCACACGTCCCAAAGTCCGGCTCACCCTCACACAAACATAATCACAAACTTGCCGAGTATCCAGCGGACAAAATTTATAATTCAATAAATATGCATGGCTTTTGGTAAACACCAAATAATTTCACACAAATCACTTAACAGCCAATAAATCGTCAAGGTGTGCAAATTTGGAAAACAAGTCAATGGAATTGGATTTATTTAAATTTCATTAACCAACTCTGTACCCGTGTTGCGTTGGGAATTATGTTCTCATACTCTCTTTCTAAATGTGAAATGCTTTAGGCGGAGGAAAAATGGATTTCCGCAGCTGATTTCAAAACTCTCCGAACATCTATTTCGTTCTTCAGCAGACTGCCTGCTGATTTCCTTCGATGGAGAGATAAGGCTCGAGGTGTAATTCAAGGAGCAAAGATTGGATTTTTTAAATGTTATGTCGAAGACCAAGAGGTTGGTACGTTTGGCGGTAGCTATGGTTAGGACTTACGAATTTACTCATCATAGACACAATAAGAAGGCGAGCATATTTCATTTGGTCGGCTTGGTTGGTCTTCGGTGGTAAGCCTTAATAGCTTCCGCAAATTGGAGTCAATAACGTAATAGAATATGCAAGTGTCAAGTAGGTATGAAGGAGTGGCTATTGACGTGCGAACTTTAATACAGCTGGGATCAAATAGACCTACTATGATACCATACCGTTTCCCCGCTCATTAGGATTCCCTCCCCTTCCACTTTGATTTGTCATTTGTTTAAAATTAAGGAGAAGGCAGCAATCGCACTGAAGCTCTTAAAAAGATCATAACCCAAATAAATCCTAATAAATAAAAGTTAATTTTATTCTGCTTAAACATTTATCTAACATAGATAACATAGCATAGCATTTTTCTTTTTGTCTAAAAACAATTAAAATTTGCATTTTTACGTTGCGATAATCGCACAGACTCGATTTTAATGGAATAATTGACCATAATTGGAAAACAAGTTCCAAATAATAACACAAGGAGAAGAACATAAATATTTACATACACTCACACATATGTTACCTGTGCATGTCCTAAGAGAGCATTTACAGTTTAAGGTGCCTCCCGTGGAAACAAACTGTATTGCGAAGCATCTGCCTGACGAAAGCAGGCACTTATTGAATCTCACACAAAAGGCATACAAATACACGTATGTATTTATGTATGTACACATGTGCTAACTAAAATGTACACACACGAGCAAGTGTGCCTCCCCTTGTCTGTTTCACTTACAGGTAAATACATTTTGCAGCTTCGATTATGAGAACATTTACGAGTAAACTGTATTTAAGAGTGCAAATCGTATTTGAAAAAGTTGCACGTGTGTGAGTAGGCGTTTGTGTAACTGACAGTTGCAATCGAAAGAATTGCCTGTAAACAAAACGTAACTGTTTAAACAGAGAGTTGCATTGAGCAAGTGTTTTTCTGTTCTTCTTCTTCTGCCCAAAACATTTTTCATTTTCCTGCAAGAGGTCGAATACATTTACAAAAGGAAAATATAAAGCTTCAGTGTTTATTTTGTGTTTAAGCGAACGATTTTGTTTCCATTTGTACAACGCTGGAGTACTTACAGTATGGTCCTAGGTAATGCAGTACTGAACCAACTCGTCAGTGCTCGTGTTTCAACGATCTCACAGCTTACGACCTCACGAAGCTGATTTGATCTACGGAGAATATATAAAAGTAAAATTGAGACAGTCACGTTTTGCCGGAGAAGAAATGACTTGAAAATGAAAAGACAAAGGTTTGAGCTGATATATGTAGGTAATACAACGCGGCGACGATGTGGGCCATTCTTTACCGCAATGAGTTGGTGACTTGAGAGTGGTTTTTTAGTTAGTCTTCCTAGGCCACTCTTTGACGTTGGAGTATATGGCTCTGCTTTAGGGTATTAATGTTACTTGTAACTCATTTTGTGACAGTTTCTGAACCACGCAAACTACATTTTACCTGCATGCGTAGAGTACTTGCTTTTATTTGTTTCAGTTTTGTTTTCTGTCCATATCTTTACGGGTAGGCATTCATTTTTGTATGCTGGCTGGAGGATGTGCTTGAGGCGTCCAGTATGTTACTCCACGTTTGTTTGTCTGTTTTCATCTTTCCTTTCTATTGCCAAGTGTAGGCAGGGAGAATTCAGTTTAAAACTAATTGGTCATGAAGTTACTTGATTGGTGGGTCGAAACTGCCGGTCGGAAATGAAGTGTTCGAAGTAACAAATGACCACACTTACTAGAACCAATGTGGAGAGATAGATATACCCTGCGGCGAATTGAGGTGTGGTTGTTGAGGTGACACCAGGGAAAAGAAGGGAATTTGGAATTTCTTAGAAAGCATTTATTAATTGAATCTCATTACCATTCAGATCGACTTTCAGAGCACCGTCCAGTTGTTTCTCAATATCTTATGTTTTACGGGAATTCTGAAGAAATAAGTTTGAAATATTTGTTCCTCTGCTGCTGCTTATATAAAATTGAATTGAAGAAATATAATAATATAATATGAAAATAGTTATGAAGAGGTTTGCCACCTGCTGAACAACGAATGACGCAATTGAGATTTAAAGAAACTCAAAATACGAGTTCCCAGCTGATGATTGCTACCTATTCAAGCGCACTTTACATCAAGATCCATCCTTAACTGAATAAGTCCAGGAAAAATATCTCTTGAATGTATTTTCAGCGAGAAACCTCAAACAAATAATTAAAAAAAAACCTGATAAAATAAGTTGGATATTAAGTACTTACATATGTGTATGTCTGCTTCCGCTTATTCAATGTGTACGGCCCAAGAAATTTTTCACTGCAGGGAATGAACTTTTATTTACACAAGAACTCTTTCGTCTGCGCCGTGCGGAGTTCATAGACTACACTTCTTAGGCAACGCCAACCGCTGTAAGTGCGTGTGTATGCGTGTGTATACTTGTGTAATTACTCAACCTTGTGGCTTGCATTTACCTTGCTTCAGGTTGCCAGGTGACTAGATTTTGCAAGTGAAATGTGGTTAATGCCAAGGCAATCGACGGAACTTCAATGGAAACTTGACATTGAGTGCCGAGCTTTTGTGGTGGGGTCGGGCTACGCTTCGGGTTGCTGACTGAATTGCTTTAAGCGCAACACCAGTGCCAATGCAACAACATATTGTTCTACTTAATTGGCATAAATCAATAACAAATGTGGTTATTATAATACTACTCATAACAATCATTTTAAGATTTCAAGGATTATGGTTTAGTATCTATTTATGTGGTTATTGTTGTTATAATATTTGAGTTACAAAGACAAACGCATGTAGATGCATTGGGGGAAATGTCAAACTAGATTACTCAACCCCACATTTCTGGCTAATTATGGCCCAATTGCGAAATGCTAAGAAGCTTATTAACGCTGTATCAATGTTACTGAAAGCTCTAATTGCATACTCTTGTTTTCCATATGTATATTAGCGTCCACTTACGCTTCACCTTTTTATATTACAGGCTTTGGCGCTAAGAATTTCCATGCCATGACCGTGTCGGTTACACAAAACTCAACGCAAGGAGGCGCAACCATTACAACCACGACCACCACGAAGACGTGCACGGCTTCCAGCTGTTACGCTTCCACTCGTTCCGCAGCCATGATGGCACTCGCTTTGGGTCATCGGCCGAAAAATCCTGCAACAACCGTGAAAAATACTGGCAAAAACAACACTACTAACAGTAATCACATACCGTCGTCGACCAACAACAAGACTAACAAAATGAATTCCAATAACAGCCCTCCTCCTGCACCACTAGCCGACGGTGTTTACAATAAGTCGCCCAATACTAACCAACGCCACAATGTGAGCAGCAGCCACACCAACACCAACGTTAATAATCGTCACACTACCGTTGCCGCTGTCGTGCACATGAATGGTGGCACTGGCACCAATATTGGCTTTGGCAGCGGTGGCAGCGCCTCAAGCGGCTCGGACAATGATGGTTTCAACAACTCGTCCTCGTCCTCGGCCACAGCGTTGCGTCGTTTTTACTTCAAGAGTGGCCGTAAATCAAAAATGAACTCCACCGCTACCACTTCGATGACCAGCATACCGTTAAATGCCATATCCACGGCAGCTGCTGCATTTCACACGTCGATAAGTGGCGCACTGCCACCAAAAATTGCTGCCGCAGCCGTACCAAAGGTAAGTGAGTTGAGAAAGTTAAGGAAGCGAGGCGCTAATGGGCGCTTATAAGCAACGTAGGGACCTAAGGCTTGTTCTAAGCCACCTTCAATCGTCTGTTGGATTTTTATCAAAAACTTTTATTTCATATCAGAAACACTCGGAGGGATTGGTATTTCCAATCGAGGGCGACCTCTTCGTTTTCTAGACGAGTGTTACCCAACGGAGAAAAATATTAGTTGTAAACTAGAACTATCATTTTTCACAACTCTTTTATGCTAGGAACAAGTGTCTTAAACATGCTGATGTCATTTGTCCCACCAAGTATCGACTTCATGTTTGATAATTTTCAACTTCGTAGCAATAAAACAATAAACATTGTGTCTGCAGCAATATTTGAACCGTTATTCACACGCTTAACAACGGCAAACCATAACCATTCGGCTTTCATTTTGATACCAAAGTAGCGATAAAACACACAGGATTGAGGTGAAGGGGCAATACCTTGGTAATCCATGAAAAATTAGGCGATTTACGAGATCTTTTTCGAAACAAATTACATAGACTATTTTGAAGCTTTTTGGAGACATTGCAGTATATTTTCAGCTATATTTTAAAATAATTAAAAAAAAAAAAGGGAAACAACGGAGTTAAGTGCTGTCGTCGGAGGCCCCTAAAAAAAGTTCCCCAACTGCTGACATGATCCCGAACAAATGAGTAGCTTAAACCGACGAAGAGCAAAATGATATTAAAGCTGCAGGTATTTCCTATATAATTATTTATTATTTTTGAAAAATGTTAAAAATTACAAAAATGGTGAAGTTTTAAGAAAATTGTGTATTTTTGGAGTAAAACAACCCTCATATATATACGAGTATATGCAAGTAAATCCAGTTTTAATTTCAGACGATTGGCCAATTTATTCTTTAGTTATGATGCCAGCAGTTTGAAAAATTTCGTTTCGAGAGAAATGCGCCTAAAGACTCCACTGTCGATGTTATGTCTGCAGGTGGTCGCGGTTAAGAATGCTGTCATTCAAAAACTATTCAATATACGACATAGCTGCTGTCACAGGACATTTGGAAGTAAAACCTATAAAATAAGCAAAAAAAAAAAAACGATTTTTGAAAGTGTGAAGTCTAGTCTCTTATGAAAAATATTATTATTACCGTTGGAGTTGGAGTACAAGTAGCAGTTGGTGGAATACTCGCCAGTAAAAGTAATGAAAGCACTTCTTTTGGAACCGAATCTCTTCTTTTATTATTTGCTTTCTGAGAACATTTATCTGTGCCTCTCTGGTAATCAAAAGCTGTAGCCGGTATATTATAATACGAATAGAGACTTAATATATAAAATAAATTTATTTATATTGTTAAAGATGGACCCATGAAGTTTTCGCTCACAACAAGTCTGCCTGACCACATTAGAATTTCGAAATATTGATGTGTAATTTGTTGTAAATTTTTAGTTACCAAGATTTTGTGGCGCTCTGTTTTATAGTATTTATACCACAAAATTATAAAAACTATAAAATCCTGGATAAAATGCAAACTGCATAATGCTTTTTCTGAAATTTAAGAGTTCAATTTCATTTTATCCTAATGAATTTGGAATAATAAATCCACCTTCTCGTGACGCTGATCCATATCAAAAAGTATTTTTTAAAAACTGCTTAATTATTCAACGTTAATCATCCTCTACTATGAATATTAATGACTTAATTATAAATATGATAACTTTTAGTTATTTACTCACTCCAATCATATGCGTTTGTATATGTGTTTTTGTGTTTCGTTGTTAGGTTGTCATAATGGGTTCCTCGTCAGCTTCCATCACCGATGGCAACATCAATACATCCACAGATTCGGCGTCGACGCTCGTCACCAGCATCACTCATACAGATACATCGGAGACTTGCGATTCACTTGATTTGGGTAAGTCAGCTCCGGCTTTTGCTTGATATTTGTATATGTATGTATGTAGGTATTGTGGATAAATGGATAAGCAACAACATGAGACAACAAGAGAGGAGAATAATCTACAATAAATTAAATAATTAATGACTGCTTAATGGATATGTGTTAATGGCTGACGCAAAGTTGAATAAATAACAGCGTGACTAAATAAATGAAAAGGAGCGGGAAGTTCAGCGTGAAATATTGGAGACATTTTTGTGGTAGATTTCCCAGGCCAAGACTGATTGGTCTGTTGCATGCAACATTGTTTGTGCTAAAGCGAATACTATAAATAATAAAAGATTATAAACAAGAACACTGTTGGAGAGACATACACACTCATTCATACATTCATGGCGCGTGTTTCCTCGTAGACTTTTTACTTCAATTCAATTGACTTGGTTAATACACCGAGTTCCCTTTATTTGCTTAGGCAGCTTGTTGCGTTAATAATATTTTCTGTTTCTTTATCTTTTTGTTGTTGCTTTTTTATAGCATTTGTTACCGGCACCTTTATTGCCGTCGGTCACTGTTCGAAAATTGGAAACGTGTTGGATCGTAAAATTCTTGTTGCTTTTGTTCCACAAGTCGTAAATAAATTATTTGGCCAGTTGTGCGATAGAATTTTTAGAATTTTTTATTTTGTAAATAATAAACTTGGTAAATAAATATGTAAATAATTAATCATTGAGTTCATTGTTGTTCGACAGAGTATCTAATTAATGCAAATTTTTGCATATAAACTCGCGTACACACAATTCATTTCAATACTGATAGCTCAGGAAAATTGTTGAAGTAATGAAAAGGGCTGCCAACTGCTAAATTAATAACACCACACACCAAATACTAAAAATTTTAACTGAAAAATCGCCGGTCAAAATCCTTTCCCATAAATCCTCCAGAGCACACTCAAGCTTCAATTCGTGGGCACACTTCTGTCCTACCATATTCCTAGAAAGAGCATGATGCAGCTACCTTGCCAGTTCTGCACCGCTATATTTGAACAGCTCAATCAAAAAACTGGCGACTCCTATCGGTTTGTTATTCTTCAAGAAAACTATCGATATTTGAACTTCATCAAAGTTGGGTGACTGAACAGCTGTGCTTTTGTCGAAGATTGAGTATCGGATTCGACACCTGCAGGTGTTTACTTTCAATATCTTTAAGCAGTCTGGAGAAGATTTCCCACGATCTCACGTTCTTCAGAATTTTTTTTTTTTGAATGCATATCGATTTCTACTTCAACTCTCTATATCCCTTCGGAGGCCTTCGTCGATGGCAACAACATAAAATAGTTGGTTCATTTTATGTCTACATTCATCTTTTTACCAGCTTATCTTTGTCAGGGTCAAAAACTAATTGGCTCTTTAGCAGCTGTAAGTATGGAGCTTGAAATACCGTCCCGCCGATCTCCCATATCGAAAGGGTGACGTGTGCACCTAGAAATGAAGAGCGTAAGTCATGAAAGAAACCACTTGACTGTCTGCCGTGATTGGAGGTTTTTGACGACGAAATTTCCTTGTGTTCGTCGACGCGTGTTCTTGGCTGCTCAGGAAAAAGTGTACCTTGACAGTTGTTTGTTGTTGGGATATATAAATCTGTTCTGTTTGGTTACAAACGATTTTAATTATCGAAGACTCCACACGTCTTTTATTAAAAGGAGATTAAATGAATTTTTGATTATTAAGCGCTTTTCTTTCATTCAAAAATCCATTAACAGCAAACAATTCATAGTCTTTTCCTGCAATCAAAACCCATTTCTAGATTATTGCAAACACAAAAGAGTGAGCGCTTGGAAAGATTTTGCACATTCTTCTAAAATGGCAGAATAAAAGGGCCACCGCATTCGTTTTTTACTTTCTATTCTCACGTCATGATTGGCATGATTGGCATGATTGATTAATTCAATGATTACTAAAAGACCTGTAGCACTCACAATATAATCAGCTCTTGACTCAGTTGCACAATGTTAATGTGTTTCAAATGAAATGTCTACCAGTATGAGGGATGACCACGAAAAATAGATCCAACTCATTCATTGACTTGATTACTTTACTTTGCCTTCCCACAGCGATCCTTCCTTTGGCTGTTTTCAAATTTTCATTTCGGTTTTAAATAAACATGTCTTTTACTCACACGGGTGCACACATCTGTATATACTCGTTTTCACCTTGCAGGTGATAATTCGGGCCAGAGTGAACCGTTGTTCAGTTCACTGGAAGAGCCACTGCTGACCGCCATACAAATCGATTCGGAGCACGAGAATGGCACCGAACTGGAATTAACAAGTTGCAACATGTACAATCGACCGGATATGAATGTACAGGACAGCACTGAGGTGAGTGGGAGTTCTATTTTCTGATACGTTAGTTTTTGCAATGCAAGTGATGGAGAGGAGGTTATCCATACATTTGCAAGGTGAACACTTGTGTTTGTTTGGGCCAGAAGAAAAGCGAAAATTTTCAACTCCTTATTTATTAAATTAAAATGACATTATTTTATACTTTAATCATTTTGTTTTCATACTCCGCCTTCTTCAGAGTCAAGAGTCTTCGCTGTCCATTCTCACTATAGAACCATCCTCCACCACACCGCTGCTTGCCTCGCATCGCCGCCAGAATAGCAGTAAATGCGGCACGTCTGCTCCACCTGCCGCCAAACTGAGCAAAAACACAGGCATTGTGTCGGCAAATACCAAAGAACGGCTGCCGAATACTGCACCGGCGCCCAGCAGCGGTACCAAGCACTTCACTTTCGATCCACCAATATCACCAAAATCAGCGCGCACAAGCGAAAAGTCACGCACACATTTCAGCTTTAAAGAACAGCAGGCACATCAAGCTATGCATCAGACTCGTCGCGGCAGCAATTGGGAGGACCAACGCACGAACACCACCAACTTCATGGAGGAGCGTAGTCCGACGAGCGGTGGAGGACGACGTGATAACTCACCAAATCGCAGCAAATATCGCGCCTATGCGGCACAACGTCACGCTGCAGCTGCAGCCGCAGCACAAGCATATTACGAACAGCACCAACTAGCTGATGATGAGGAATCCTTGGAGGGTACACGCAGCAAGAAATTGCGCTCAAGGGAGACAAGCGGCAGCGCACGTCAACGTCATCCGCCGGGTAACAGTGGAAATGCGACTAGTCCTAAACGCGAGCAGCGTCGCTCGCCTTCCAGCTCGGCACCACCCACCATGAAAGAGGGTCATTTCTTTGCCAGCAGCGGCGGTAAACCAAAACAACTATCGCCAGCATCCCAACAGCGCAAGTATTCGTCCAGCTCGTCATCGGGTGGCAGCGAACGTGGCCGGGAACGCACCAAAGATTCCACAATGTTTCCGTTCGATCGGGAAGCTATTGATTATGAGCGTATACAGCGTGAGTGCTTTGCAGTTGACGAAAACTCCAGTTCAACAACTACGTCCAGCGACTCCGATGATGCTGAGCCCTGCTCGGTGTATGAGCGGAAAATGTCGGCACATCATATTTCGTCTAACAAAACTGGCGAGGTCTTTCAGCAATACAAAATCTTGGCGCAGCATGAGCAAGTGCCACCGCCCATAGAAATACAGTCAAACGGACCATCGTCGCGAAAGAATTCGAAACGCATCCGGCCTAGTTCCGTCATACACGCGACGATACGTGAAAGTCAACCATATGTGCCACAGACGGACGCATTCTATCCGCAGAAGGTCAAACAACAATCGCCGGGAGAATATGCGCCGATCGGTGGCGTTGGCGGTGGTGGGGGAGTGGGAAGCAGACAGCATTCACCCAAATCCTTCGCTGAACTGAACAAGTTTGAGGAGATCGCTTCGAAATTCGAGCAAATACCACCGAAACAACAGCCGCAAGTTGGCAAGACAGCGGGTGGTAGCCCATCAGGCAGCAACAATAATATGTTGATTGGCAGTGCGTTGCAGGCAACAAATAGCGGCAATAGCAACAATAATGGAACCGGCAGCGGGATGGCTGATACGGTGGCGCCAACGTCGAGCCCAACCGGGTCAATGCGCGGCACGATATCACCGCCACTACCAAATTTACGTGTCGACTTCTTCGCCGAGTCGCAAATGATGCATCCGCGCAAGCGATCGTCGAAAAAGAAGCAAGTCACAGCCAAAACGGGTCTGACCAACGCGACGCACGACATTTTGGATGAGAGCCAAAGATGTGTTGGAGGCATGCTGCTGTCAGCTGGAGCGGGGGCTGGTGGCGCTGGACCCATCAACGTCACATCAAATCCTATGGATGTGGCGGTCTGTACGCCACCGCGAGCCACCATTGTCGTGCAACAAGTAAGTACAAAAACACCAACGTTTTACAAATACAAATGCGAATAAATTTAGTTAGGCATATAGATACGAGTATAAGTAGGTGTGTATTTTCGTCGGTATGATAATCAAGATAATTTTTATGTATCCATCAGATAAATTTCGCTGTGTCGCTGAGTTCATAATTTCGCCGGAAAACCGCTCAGTTTCTGTTTATGTTTTGAACATTTTCTTTTTGCCCGAATTTTCCGTGAAAGATTTTCCTCTGTTCTACGGCGAGTTACGCTCATTCGCGCACTCAAAACAAAGAATTTTCACTCAATGCGAAAGATTTCATTTAGGCACATAAAAGAGGCGGCTCTGCTGATCGCCATGTTCAGTTAGCTACGATCAACGCAACGGTATATTTAAATGAATATTCTAACAACGCGAATAGTCCAAGGCGATAATTTTTGTTAGTGTAAAAGCAAAAGCAAATAGAATTTTTTATACGCAAAAACTGTACATTTGGAATATATTGTTGTTTGGAAACAAGTGATATTTTGGCACAAATTTAAGGAATTTCAAAACGAAGTGCAACATTTTTTGCACAAACTAACCAATCGAAAAATTAATTTCGCATTTTAAAAACAAAGTACAATGTGTACGTTTGTATTTTAGGTGGTTTTAGCATTTTATGAGAAACAATTGGTTGTTTGTATTGAATTTTATACTGTGAAGTGTGTACTGAAATTTTGTGGAGAAAGACATATGATTTATTATCAGAATATTGACACTGATTTTGACCGTCTCGATAAACCAAAAATGGCGCCGTTTTACAAAAAATTATGCAGAAGTCTTTCGAAGCGCTGCCAAAAGGTAAGTGGTTATGTAGCAGTGAAATAGAAGCTTTCTTACGTACATCATTTGGAAAAGTTATAGCTTTTTTTTCCAGAAAAATACATATTACCTCTGAACGGATTTAGATCCAGCAGGGAATGTCCACCCCTCCGAGTGTCTTTCGGACATGAAATAAAGGGGCTTAGTATAAACAACAAACATTTGTTTCATGTAAGAAACACCTCATGGTTGACATGGTTGACCGCAGCTAGAAAAAGAAACCACTCGGACATTGCGGCCGTCCTTTAAGTCAAGTTTTTATGTAGCTTAATCATGATTCAATATACGAGTATGCGAAAAAAAGATTTAAAAATACTGAAACGTTAAAAAATTGATTCTGAAGATGAGTTTTATTATAATTTTTCTTCTTTTCTATCTTTTAATACAACTTTTGACATCTTTTGGCTTACTCATTCATTTGTTAGACAAATTTCACTTGCAACCGTTTAGTGAAAGCTTTTGCAATTGTACGCCTTTCTATTCAGCTACCTTTTATGATATTTCCACATAATCAGTCATTTCCAGTTCAAATGCAAAGCCTGTATTGTTCAACTTTCTTTGGAAAACCGTTTAGCCAAACTAGTGCACCTGATACTTTCTTCAGTGAAAAAAAAATATTAATAGCAAATACACAATATCTTCCGCATCATCATGCATTTTAAATCATTCATTTGATGGAGAATAAAAAGTATATTTCCATACAATGGTCAATGCATATGAATGAAAGCGAATTGCTGATTGGCACCTGTCAAAATGTGTCAATTTTTTTGAAAGTAATAGCAACAGCTGCGCACAAAGTAAGTAACGAATCATACTTAAAGGCATATGTACACGTACATACATACGTGCACACGTTCTAAAGCGAATTTGCGGACCTTACTTCCGCATGTGCTGAGCTGGCATATATGAGTATGTAAGATATCGCAACGCTTCCGGCCTTTTAACCCTCTCCAGAAAGTGAGATTTGTTTTCCAAAGAGCAAGCATGAGCTTTTTGTTCTGTTATTTCAATAAGTTTTAAAGACTTGAGAACGCATGTAAGCGAAGCTGCTGTGCCTATTTTGAAAGGCATCAATACCCAAAGATTCTTCTTATTGCCTGTTGTTCTTAAGCTGTTATTGCATAAACGTCGATGTGGAAGCGCTTTCAATAACACGGTCACGCTTTCCATTGTGTTACTATTCACTTTCACTACAATGCGCTCACATGTCCATTTTCAGCATATTTCATCTTTTCCTGCAGTCCATTATCCCACTTTCAATCCTCGTTTATGTCGTCCATTAAATATTAATGGATTATTTGCATTGATTTTCACACTCATCACACTCACTTACATATTTACATTAACAAGTCGTTGAAAATTGTTGACAAACAACAACAGGCCTTTTTTATATGTAAATATTCATTTATGACATTTAATTTTCACACTCAATGCAAAGACGCTTAATAAAAATATAATTGCATTAAGTGACTTGCAACAATCGTATATACACACATACTATTGTATATACATATTCACCATCTCTATGTAATAAATCTACCGATGATTCATGACGCGTCGCAAGAAACTGACAAATTTTGCATAGCATGCGTGAATTGCAGACATTCTATCAGCATTAAAATGCAATTTATTTTTTGCCACGCTGACGAAGGCTGTAGATACAATTACATGCCGTCTCGTGAGCCTTAGAACTGTGTTTTATGTTAAGGTGACAATAAAGGAAAATCTTTTGATTTGTGCAAAGACATTATTCAAAAGGAAACTATGTACGTGTATGTATGGGCATGTGAAAAGAAAATGAAAATTACAACAAAATTAGAAGAACAATAACAACTGTTTGCAAACTTACTAACAAGAGATGTAATTAAAAATATATGCACTAATACAAACATAAAATACACAGCGTTTAGCTGTCTGAGTTCATGATTTGTCTGTATGCGAGCCAAGCGGAAAGAATTCTTTATTACCAGCTTCTTAGCAAACAGCGTGAAAGAAAGTCAATTTTATATATACTCGCGTATATACGAGTATGTCTGTGCAAAGCAAATTATTATTTTCTTTGTTCGCAATTTGCCGGCATTCGACATTTATGCCTTGTGTGGGCTGGCCGACGCGCCGCCAAGTCTCGCAGCGGTGCTTTAAGCTGTTCTATTTGTCTTCTATTATATATAGACAGAGCTGCTAGATCGTAAAAACACACCGGCATTCATACACATCTGTCTGGCCTTTTTCTCGATTTGATGACCATCTGCGGTCCCTTGAAACTTTCACACTTGGCCATTTGCACAGCGTCGCCAAATGACGGCTGATATACATGCAAACATAGTTCTTTAATTAAGGAATACAATCGCCAATGAAACTGTATTGATATGCACTTAGGAATGTGATTTATAGAAAATGTATTTTTGAGACGAAACTTAAAAAATATTGACAATGGCAGGAGGAGAAGAATATGTATTGTAAGTGTAAAGTACTTATGAAACTTACTCGTATATACACATTAACTTATTTTTAATTGGTTTAATTTACAATTTTACGTTAATTTAATTTATATTTTATTTCATTACAGTTGAATTTCTCTTTATTTTCGTTTTGATCAATTTGTCCTTTTTATGTTATTTTCTTTACATCATTAAGTTTTTTTTTTTAATTTTTTAATTTTTTATTTATTTTTTTATTCTAAATTTATTTTTTTACATTATATTATATTGCTTTATTTTAGGCTATTTTATTTTTTATATTATTTTCCTTTATTTTGATAAGTTCTACTTAATTATATATCCTATTTATTTTTTTAAATTTATTTTTTAATTTACTTTATTTATTTTTTTATCGTAAGTTCATATTCCTGTTTAATATCAATACCTTGAAACGAAAATTTAATTAATCTTTCATTTGCCTTTCAAGTTAACCTCAACTATTCCGCATTTGATTAATGTCGGTATTTTAATTAAGCAAACAATAAATCCTCTTATATTTCCAGTAGTTATTATAACAACTTGCATACTTACTTTATGACCTCTGCTCGAGCCTTGTAATGCACCAGCAATGTGTTCATTTCACTCCTTCATACATATTTTCTAGCCACAAAAGGCATTCAAAAATTTGCATTAGCATTTTGTTGTTTGATTTCGTTACTGAGAATCGCTACGGACAACAACCTTCGAAATATTTGTAAACAAACTGTAATTGGTATCTGGTGCATGCGAAAACTTTGCAAGGCTGGGGTTGTGGCTGTTAGTTTCGGACTCATAATGCTCGTAATTTGTGAATTGCAAACTGGCAATGCATGTGAGTGCAAATTGATGGAATGCATTTTATTGCACCTCAACATTTAAGATGTAAAAAAAGTTATGTTTATTCGAAAACCAAATGAGGAAATGAGGCAATAAATAATGATTTGAAAATTTAAATTCCAATGTTCATTATTTGGTTGATGGAAGATTAGGATTAAATATTTCTGGAATTTTCTTCACTGAAACTAAATTAAGAATATGAATAGATAATGGGATTCAGCAAATTTTTTTTATGTACATACATATGCATACATTTGCTCAATAATAATAATCTCTTTTTTAATAAATGAAGAAAAGAAAATGAAATTTAAATAAAGTAAACGCCCACTCATGAGAAACTCACAAATTTTATTATTGAAACAGGCCAAAATTATAGCAAATTTCTACTGCTCTATGTGTACAAAAAGTAAGCTCGGGCGTGGGTCAGGCAAAAATAACTCTCTTGCAGAATACCAGCCAAAATAGTTATGAATGAATTTATGTATGTGTGCACTATCCTTTGTTTTCGAGAATTTCCCAATGTAAGTTACTATATACATAAGAGAACTGTTGCTGGTATTGGCCAGTAGGCACGCTATTTTTAGAGGCACACAAAGCCGCGATGGAAAACATCTATAATTGACAGTAAAGATACAGTTAACTTCAGCATTTATCGGATTTATATTTGTTAGCTTTATCTGGATTAAGTTTTTTTTGTTTATTTTACTTCCTAAAATTTAATAACTTTATTAAATAACAACTATTAATTCATAAATTAGTACATACGAGATATCAAAATCACAATCAAAAGGTATTATTTCTTTTAAGTTGCGTCAAATTCGAAGCTCATTGACATCACTTTGTGCCTTTTTCAGCCTTTTCGGCCCTTAGGATGCCTAAGTTAAGTTTTGATCATATCTTATATTTTCTAAACTCATTCATTCGGCTTCTTCAAATTGACCAACAAATGAAGTGACAAAATACTACATGTAAACATTTGCTAAACAAACGCACAATCACCTGCTCAAGTATATACATATCTACATTATAAAGACCCTTACAGCCGAGGAGCATGTCCTCAAGCCTTAATTTGATTTTTAATGTGAAAATTATTTAAATTATACACTTGCTTCTTGCTTATTTACAAACGGAATTTCCCCACAAATTTTCGGCGACGGGATAGCACAGTGAGGCTGCTGTTGAGGTAGGTCAGCGTATATAAGAGGAGAAAACAGGGGGAAAAAGAGAAAAAAAAAACAGGAATGTAAGAGCAACAATTTTTGTTACCATATTTAGGTTGAATATTTGCGAGTTTTATGCGCTGGCCATTGGCCAAGCGCAACAACAGAACAGTCGAAGCAAAGCAGTAAATAATAATAAAAATAAAAATTGAGAAACATGACATTTTTAGGGTACGCTTGCCATTTTTTCTTTTCCGGAATTCTTTTGGCATATTTGGTTTGTAATTTTTTCTGCCCACAACAATAGTGTCAATCTCTGTCGCTCGCTCTTTCACACGTGGCTGGGTTTTGTGGTTTTGTGCCTCACTTGGCCTGAATATTAAAATGCCAATTTAAATGTAAATAAATAATTTATTTGTAATGGCATTACTTATGCATCCGCAATTTATGATTGCACAACATACATACATACATAATCGTATATATGATAAATAAAGTGGCACAAATCTGTTTTGCGGTAGGA